CCCGTACATCCATTTCACGCAGCTCACTTAAGGATTAACCTGCAGAAACCAAACATTTTCTCAAACAAGACTTCCTACACATCTAAAACCTACAAACAGCAAATTATTGAATTCTAGGTACTTAACCAAACATTTTCAAACCAAAAGGAGTATATGTTAACAAAACTTGCATTTGACTTACCAATTAACAATGGACACTTTCATAACGCGGATGCAGGTAGGCAGCGTCTCGAATATATTGCTCTAGCCATATAATGCCAAAACCACAAGCCTACTGCAGCTCTATCTCTATCGGTGAGAGGTAAAAACTCTGTGCTTCCCGTCGTCAAACGCGCCAAGAAAAGGCATACGAGAGGACCACAATCCCCTCTGGCTCCCGGCGATTGCTGTGGCGCGGTCTCGTCTCTGACAACTGTGACATTGAACTTCTTTGGCTTCTTGTGTCCAGAATAACTCCAATACTTAATCCCATCCAAGAATTTAGCCAAATGAGAGCTCCATCCCTTGAAAATATCTCTCAAATCAGACAGTGATATGTAATTAATCATGCTGTCATACACTATTATCTTCAGGGATGGGAGCTGAAGTTGGACGAGAAGCCAGTGACGACGTTCCAAAACAGGGATAAACACCTGCGATCATAAGTAATAATTCATTTATTTGCGCACTTATTTATTAACACCTTTAAAAAATTTAAAAAATAAACACTAACCTTATCGACCTCCCACCATGCAGGATAAAGTTTAGCTTGTCCATTGCCCAACAAAAATGATTCATCTCGTTGATTCTTCAAGTGAACTGCGTGAAAAGCCGTCGGCATTATTGTATATAGCGAATTTTTTTTTTATTTTTCCTAAGCTTCCTTATTATTAATAGACGTGACACCCACGTATCGATATGCTGTTTTACAAAAAAATACATATATTAGTGAATTACATTAATTTTTAAACAAATTAATCAAAATCGTATATAAGACAAATATAGTCTTACCTCCCCATCCAAATAGCCACTGTCTTCAACCCCTAATAGCACACCCCACCAAGACCGATCAAGCAACAAAAACATTTCATCGTTGAGTTTGCTGATGTCAGTGTAACACCCTTGGCTCCGCTCATGTAGATAAAAATCAACTGCGGTCTTAGCCCAAAGGGTATTATCCACAATTGTTTCCGGTAGTTGTCTCCTCTCCACTTCAGATACCGGAAGGGTACTAGCCGGTAACTCATACGAGAGCTAACTCTCATCCATCATGTCCCGAACCGGTGGGGGTTTCTCAATACTTCGATATATTACCCCATGTGAATCGGGCTCTGGAATGGTGGGAGGGACCTCTTCAACGATGACAGTGGCCTCTTGAACGGTGGGAGGGGAATCTTGAGGGAGAAAAGGGGCCTCTTGAACGATTGGAGGGGACTCTTGAGGGATGACCGGTGAGTCGGGCTTCTTCTTGCGGAGTCTTCGCACCATTGGGGTGAACGGAGACGTAATAGCACGTCCACGCCGTCTGATGCGTGAACTCCGTCGTGCAAGGAAAACCCGACGTAAAGCATCCACCTTATCGGGCCGCTAAAAAAATTAATACATAAATCAATAAATAAACAGACATGATATTAAACAAAGACAAATATGTTTCAAACTAGCATTGTATTCACCCAAATCATTATTCTATCATAGTTCACAAAATGCTCAGATAACATTCCAGAAGTAAGCACTTATATAAACATTTAAAAGGACAACATATATAAACATTCCAGAAGAAGAATAGTTTACTTTCGCAACACGAAACTTAAAATCGCAACGCGAAATGACTATCGCAACGCGGAAATGGCTATCGCAATGCGAAATGAAAATCGCAACGCGAAATGAAATCGCAACGACAAAATCGCAACGCGAAACACAAATCGCATTGCGATTTTCATTTCGCATTGCGATTTTGTCGTTGCGATTTTTATTTCGCATTGCGATAGCCATTTCCGCGTTGCGATAGTCATTTTCGTGTTGCGAAAGTAAACTATTCTTCTTCTGCAAATTGAAACTTGAATGGATTGCATTACTTCAACCAAAAGATAAAAACAAAACCAAAAACAAATACTAACAAAAACAGATTGGCAGCAACCGAATGAATTACGAGTATGAAAAATCTTAAACTTACCTCGTTGCGTAGAGTATGAACCTCATTCTGCAACGATGCTACCATCTCACGTAGAGCGGCTACCTCACCGCGTAATGTAGACACCTCAACACGCCATGCACCATCGTCTTTGCGTAAAGTACCGACCTCCTCACGCAAGGCATTGACCTCATCACGTAACTCCCCTAACTCATCCCGTTGAGGTGGAGGTGGAGAACAGGGAGATAAACGTCGTGGCATCTTTGTCGGTCGCCTATCTTGCGGTGATGGTGGAGAAGAGGCTCGATGATGTGACAGAATAGGTGATGGCTGTCGTTGTGGAGGTGTATAGCCGGGTCGATCAGATGATGGCTCTAGGTGAGGTGATAGCTCTGGGCGAGGTGATGGCTCCCGAAGTGGAGGCTGCTCATCAACCGTTCCATCAAAAAACGCTTACTAGCTTGCCACCAATCAGTGGCAAGCTCAGCTTCCGTGGGTGTCAGCCTCTGTAGAGGAGTGTTGGCCTCCTAACAATATAAAAGCTCAAACAAAGTTAAATGTGTACTAGTAATAACTTGTTTATAAACATATGGTAGTATTTATGTTAACTTACATTATTTATTGTCGTATACCGTAGTAAATCTTCCCATTGCAAGGTTCGTTTCCTCTTCCAGGAAATAGCCCTGGGAATATTATTTGAAGTTTTTATTGCATATGTCTTCATGGCGGGAAAGGCCTCAAATATCCAAATCTACAAACAATATAATAACAAACATTAGTAATTGTTAAATAATTACTTATAATTTTGGAAACATTATATAAAAATTCTTACCTTAAAGGCCCAAATAAAGCATGTCAAAGTGTATTTGGAACCATCGCCATGCAAACTTTTTCGATCATCCAAGGCAGACGATAACTTATTCCATGTAGCTTTCCATAAATACAAGCCCCACGGAAACAGGTTCCACGCATTTAGGTCTTCTACCAATTTGATTAGATCATTTGGAATAGGTTGTCTGGCCTCTCTGCCTAAAAAGCCGGCATGCAAAAGAATTAGAAGGCATACTCGGACAACGTCGACGTCATCCATCCGAGTAAAACCATCTTTATTATTCAAAAATCTTGTCAGGTCTTCTACGTGTAGACTCGGCCTCTCCAGCTCAGGAAAAACCCGGGATAGCCATGATGGGTGGGTAATGTGTCTAGTGTACCGACCTACATCATCGTGTCCGAAGCGTAGACCGGTGATTAAGCAAAACTCCTCCCGCCCAAAACACGTATACGCCGGTGGAAAATCAAACCATATCTCTTCATCACGACGTTGTATAGTCTCTGGTAGATCTCTAGTCATGGTTTGAAGAAACAGGTGTGTCAACATCGCATCTCCACCGGGATGTTGTACTTTCAGCCATGGCCCGAAGCATGTATCCTCAAACATTTTTCTTTGTGCAGGTGAAAGCTTCGACGCAATTGTTTTGGCCAGGCTGACTTTATTTCTCAAGGTCAATTGAGCCGAATAAAAGTTCTACAAAAACAATAAACATACTAAATTAGATATACCAAAAACTACACTGTGAAGATATACCAAAAACAATAATAAACATAAATAGTAGTAGTTTATTCTTCAAACTTAAATATGCAACACTGTGAATTTCGTATTTGTCTTTGTTTTTTGGTTGAAGTAATGCAATTCATTCAAGTTTCAATTTGCAGAAGAAGAATAGTTTCTGAAAATGAAAATCGCAACACGAAAATGACTATCGCAACGAGAGAATCGCAACGCGAAACTAAAATCACGTTGCGATTTGCATTTCACGTTGCGATTCTTGGTTGATTTAATAAGCAATCTAAGTGAAATGGTTAATCTATTATTGAAATTACCAGTAAACTTATCATCAATTTCAATATGAAAAACCTAATAATAATGCAAAAATTTCAAAAAGAAAATAATTAAAAAACTAACCCTCGTTGGTTGATTTGGTTGATTTTCCATTTCTGATTGTGAGGGTGGCTCTGAGAGATTTAGATAGATGGATTTCGCATGAGATGGGGACGGATTTCGTCGGAGATGGGTGAGAGAGTGAGAGATGGAGATGGGACTGAGTTGTGATTTTAGGTTTTAGGTTATGAGTTGCGATTACGGGATATACTGTGGACAGTTCAGTGTTCCAATATATTTATATTCATGTTTGGAATTTAAAAATAAAATACTTGGCCAGGATACTAATGGCGCTTTGAAAATCGCATTGCGATTATGTATTATCGCGTTGCGAAAGTCAGTATCGCGTTGCGAAAGTAAGTATCTCGTTGCGATTTTTTATTATCACATTGCGATAGTCAGTATCGCATTGCGATTTTCCCAATTCGCGTTGCGATTTACTTATTCACATTGCGAATTTCCCAATTCGCGTTGCGATTTACTTATTCGCATTGCGAATTGGGAAAATCGCAACGATACTGTAGACCATCGCAACGCGATTTTCAACTATCGCATTGCGAAAATGCAACGCGAATTTGCGATAATGGAGATCGCGTTGCGAATTAGCGATCGCATTGCGATTTTGTTGGTCATTTTGGCAAATCCGGAAAAAGTTGGTTAAAATCGTATATTATATGGGATTTTTGGTCACTGAGGTTATTTTCTCTAAGATATATTGTAGAGGGAGTGAGGAGGCACGCAAGGGTGAGGATTTCTCTACTAGTTTACTTTTTTTTTTGAATTAAAAGAAAGCCTAAGACAGTAGTCTAAGCATGTCTAGTGGCATCGTCTTGTTATGCATCGACTGCTTCTAATCGAAGATCAACAAGCTCATCAGGGGGAGAGTCAAAACGAATCAAACTGAAGTGATTCCAGGAGGCAAGCTTTGCCATCTTATTTGCAATCTTGTTCTCATTCCGGCTTATCCATTGGACCTTTGTTATCCAGCATCCAGACCTTCGTTGCTTCAGGATTGCGCACACTATCTTCGACCAGCTTGACTGCTCTATTACAGTCTGATTGTGTCAATAATCTGAGAACCCCAAGGCTCCTTGCAATGAGTAAACCTTCATAGATGCTCCAGAGTTCTGCGTAGAGGGCCGATGTTGTCCCTATATTCTTTGTAAAACCTGTAATCCAGTCACCAATGGAGTTGCGAAACACACTACCAATCGAACCTCGCCCATCAAGTGTCGCAACTGCACTATCAGTGTTTAAACACGTCCATCCTCGGGGTGGCAAAGACCATGTTGAAGTAGCCCCCTGTTGTCTCGGGCGTGCAGTAGGATTTCTGATATTGGTTTCATAGCATTTGGCCCAGCTATAACTACTATGAATAATCGAGTCAGTTTTATAAGTGACGCCCTTAAAAACATAATCGTTCATTTGTTTTCAAATTAGCCAAATGAGGGCAGAAAAAAGAGAGGACCAAGAGGGATCACCATCACATAAGGGACGATGCATGTGGATGTTTTGCGTAATCCATGAATGAAGGTCAGTCCCGAAAAAGCTTGAGCAGGCAGATTGGGGCACAACACGCAACCACATGTGTCGGTTTGGTGGGCAGTCGTGTAGCACATGAATTACAGTTTCAGTTGCTGCACCACAAGTCGGACATGAATAGTTATTTGTGAGCAGTCGTCTTCCTCGCTCATAATTCGTCATGATTTTTTCTTTATAGGCGAGCCATGTAAACATGCGAACTCGTTGAGGAGCAGTGATGGGCCAAATTACCTTCCAAATAGAGCTTTTTTCATTCCAGTTATCTTCCATGAGAAAAGTATAAGCTGACTTAATTGTAAAGTTAAGTTCAGGAGTCCATCTCCAGATCAGTGCATCGGGTTTATCGTTTCTATCTGGGGGTCGGACATTGATGACGTGAGGTATGACATCTGGAATAAAAACTTGAGATAGAGCTGCAACGTCCCAATGGCCATGAACATCAACGAAGTTATGAATTTTCTGGGTTAAATCAGCATGTATATCATCTCGGGCATAGTCTCGTAAATGCCCCAAGCTCGGCACCCAATTATCATTCCAGAAAGTTATAGAGTTCCCATTACCCACTGACCACCAAACATGAGAGTAATTGTCTCCATACTTTCGATATTCCTCTCCATAATGGGGAGCAGTTGTGCTTTTCAATTGATATAGGGTGAGCTTCCTGGATTTTATATTTTTGTCTGAGTAATTGGACCCAGTAAGAGTTTGTCTTCACCATAAGGGAATAGCAAAGCTTCATCATGAAAGCTTTGTTTTGCTCAAGAGGCCGAATAAACCCCAAACCTCCTCAATCAATTAGATTGCAAACGATAATCCAGTTAACTAGAGAGATCTTCTTGCCAGATGGTTCCGACCCCCAAATAAAACATCTTACCATAATTTCTATCTCATTACAGACTCGTTTAGGGAATGGCATGACTTGCATAAAATAATTCGGAATGGCTGAAAGGACTGATTTTGTCAGAGTAATACGCCCTGCAAGCGATAGGGATCGAGCAGCCCATCCATTTAGTTTACTTCTGAACTTGTCAAAGATGAAATCAAAATCAGTAATTTTCATACGTCTGTGGAGGACCGGAACTCCAAGATACTTCCCCATAGATTCAACTTCTTGGAAACAAAGACATGATAGAATAGAAGATTTCGTAGATGTGGTGGTATTAGGCAAGAAGTATATATGCGTCTTCCGTTTACTAACTTTGTGACCCGAGAAATACCCAAATTCCTTGAGGGTTTTCTCAATGATTTCCTCATGGTGAAGGTCAGCCTTTGCATATAACATAAGATCATCAGCAAAGAATAAATGATTGATGGAGAGACCCTGCCGGGAAAAGGAATAACCCTTCCAATCACCTTCTTCAACACATTTACGTATGCTATGGCCAAGACGTTCCATTGCAAGAATAAAGAGGTATGGGGAAAGTGGGTCACCTTGTCGGATACCCCGTTCTGGTTGGAACGCAGAAGATTTCTCACCATTCCATTGGATTTGCATAGAGGTCGAAGTGATACAATGCATTATGAGTCGAATAGTGCATGGTGGGAAGCCAGCTTCAGTGAGCGAGTCTTGAATGAACTCCCATTGGAGGCAATCGAAAGCTTTTTCAAGATCCACCTTAATTGCCATCCAACCTTGCTTTGTCTTGAGTTGGCGCATGAAATGGATTACCTCCTGATTTATAATGATGTTTTCGGTGATAGAGCGGCCAGCGACGAAGCTTGTTTGATTCAGCATGATCAGAATAGGCATCACTTGTTTTATGCGACGAACAATAATTTTTGTGATGAGTTTGTACATAACTATGCATAAGCTGATAGGACGTAAGTCTGCAAAAGTTTCAGGTCCTTCTTTTTTTGGGATTAGAACAAGCACATTTTTGTTTAGGTTCGCTTCAATGTCACCTCCTGCAAAAATGTTTTTCACCATGCTGCAGACAGATTGACCCACCACGTGCCACTGTTGTTGGAAAAATTCTGCATGGAGGCCATTACGCCCCGGTGCTTTTAGGGGAGCCATATCCTTAAGAGCTTCATAGATTTCCTTATCATCGGGTTCAATGGACATGGAATCCTTTAAATGAGACGGAATAGCCGGGAAGTAACCTGAAATGGGAAAATTCCCTACCACGTCCTCATCGCATGCATAGATATTCTTGAAAAAATTAACCGCTTCTTCCTTAAGTTTATTTCTGTCAAAGCACCAATCATTTGGAGAAAGTTTAAGGGCCAAGATTTGGTTTTTCTGCTTTCGCTACAAGGCACTTCTATGGAAGTATTTTATGTTTCGATCACCTTGGGTAGCCCAATTTATTCTTGAGCGTTGTTTCCATAGAATTTCCTCTTGGTCTAGGAGCTGCTCTAACTTGGTGAGGAGTTCGGTTTCAAGATTGATATGGAAATTCGAATGACGTCTATTGAGGCTTTTGTGTATTCCTCGAAGTCTTGCCATAACTATCTTCTTTTTTGTGCCAATATAACCGAACACCGTTTTATTCCATGTATCAGTTGCATTAGTAAAAAAGGAAATAGTGTCTGAAAGAGACTCAGAGTTTACCCAGTTATCCTTCACCATTCGGTTGAAATCATCATGTTGTAACCAGCCAGAGAAATATCTGAATTGAGACTGGCGAAGGTTAGTTGTAGAGCTTCCAACACATATGAGAATTGGTCTGTGATCAGACCGCATGCGATGAAGATGATGTATGGATGTTTCAGGATACAATTCGTCCCATTTGCTATTACATAAAGCTCTGTCAAGACGAGCGTAAGAGAGACCCCAATTCCACGTGAATTCAATACCTTGGAATCCAATGTCACGGATACCGAAATCATAAACAAAATCCTAGAAATGTTTACAAGGCCGAGTAGAAATTGCACCATTCATCCGATCCGAAGCAGTGAGTGTGGAATTAAAATCTCCAATCATGATCCAATGGGAGATAGTATTTCCAGCGAGGGATCGAAGGTGAGGCCATAGTTGTTTTCGCTTTGTTGCATTCGGGCTGGCATAAATAATGGTTGCCAAAGTTGAGAACTTGCCACAGGTGGTAGCTATACGGCAGTGGATAAACTGCAGATGATTGAGGAGTATTTTGACATGGATGTTTCCACGCCAGCATAACTATATGCCTCCTGAAAAACCTACAGCTTCAATGCGGTGAGAGCGATCAAAACCAGTGGCGGAGATGAAAGCATCAGCTCTACCCCCACTTAACCGGGGTTCAAGGATTACTACTAAATCTGGTTTAAAGTCGCGCAAATATTGTCGAAAAGCCATGAGAAAACGCAGGTGACCACATCCCTGTACTTTCCAACATATTATTTTAACATCCATAAATAAAGATAAGTATAGAAACCAAATCATTCCAGCATGGGAACCGTTTGGCTGTCAGTGCAATTATTCGACATGGCATCATCTCGTTGAGTAGGACTAGTAGCATCAGCTTCTGTTCTTTTAGAAAATGCTTCACTCGATTGAATTTAGTTTATATCGGGTGGTTCTCCTGGTATGGATTTGTGTTTGGTGGTTCCGCGTAGGTCTTGCAAGTTCATGTCATCAATAATGTTTGGATTTGTGTTTTCTGCTAGAACGATGGCCGAATGTTTCGACCTGTCCAGTATTGTAACACGTGGTTCAACATTGATTTGGCGAGATTGGTTGCTAGATTGACCCTGACTTCCTTTCGAAGATCTAGCAGTGATCTTGGGGATCATTAGTGGTTTACGGGCAAGAGCGGTAATCTTGTTTTTAGTAATATGTTGATTGTTGGAGTTGATTTTGCTGGATTGTGCGTGATTAGCTGAAGAAAGAGCATTAGTCGCATTGGAAGCATGAGAGACATTCGGTCCATGAGAGGCATGATGAGCATGAGGAGTCTGAGCAGCATTTGGCGTGTGAGTAACTTTGCTGGTATATGTAGCTTGGTTATCAAATGCAACAGCAGTAACATCATCGACTGATTCATAAAGAGGATTAAAATGCGAGCCATTATTCTCCAGATGTTGTCCTTTATCCGCTGGAGGTTTTTTACTATTTTTATGTTGCCTTCGCTCAACAACCATCCATGGTCCAAATGGTTCAGAGTTTTGGTTGGCAATCGACAAATGTGGTTCACTTATTTGCTCATTCTGGTAATTTGAGTCCAGCTTGTCGACAATAATTTTATCTGGGCAGATATCCTTTACATGTCCATACCGACCACATGAGAAGCATATTGTAGGCAGTGATTCGTATTCAACGATCTGAACACGCCTATTGATTAGAAGCTTTGAGGTTAGCGGTTTTTTCAGGTCCACACTTACCGTCATTCTTGCGAATCGTCCTCGACGACCAGTTTCCATTTGATAATCAATTTTAACAACCTTTCCAATGCATTCACCAATTTTAGTAATAAGGCTGCGTTTATAGAGGGTTACCGGTAATCCCAGAAGACGAATCCATGCCACAATTCTGCTAGGAAACAATTGTGAGGAGGTGAAATCCGGTGACCATGGTTCAACGGTTAGGTAATGTCCAAAAATTGTCCATGGGCCATCGGAAAGTGCAGTCAAGAAATATGAGCGTGTTCGTAGCGAAACGAGGAAGTAGTCGTTTTCTATGTCCATGAGACGAAAAGGCTGAGACGGCTTCCATAGATCATAAAGTTTATTTCGAAGAGTTGTGTAAACAATACGCCTCCCCAGTAGCTTCACCACAACGGTCTGATCAAAGCTTTTATTGGCAATGACTTGGACCCGATCAGAGAAATCGATGGAGATTAAACCATTAACGACACCACGGACTACACCATCCTCAAAGACTTTGACATCTTCCTCGTCCAGGATTTCATCATCGATCAATGGTTCTTTAGGATTATCTTTAAGGAGAGTGTCGCAGTAAGAGATTGGAGCGGGTGGGATCACTGGATTCGTATCGCTGACCACTTCGACATCCATGTTGCTTGGAGCGCCGCCGCCTGTGTCTGGTGGTTCTTCATCAAGTCGGCGTGCTTTCTTTGTGAAACGGTCGTCTTGCGCTAGGTTTTCTTTCATTAGCCGCCGCTTGAGAGAAAGGGTTTTCTTTTCTCTACTAGTTTACTTTTAATGTTGTAAATTTATTACGGGTAAAGTATACAAATGGTCTTAACTATAGCGAGATGATTTATTAAATCATTAAAAGTTATAAACGATCTTTTAATTATATGATGTTATTTTGTTTAGTATTTCTACTATTAAAATTTTATAAGATGGTCCTTTAATTATAGGATTCTATTTTGTTAAGTCTATAAATTATTAAAGATTATAAAATGGTTATTCGATTATTCATATCTTCCAAACTCATCTTTTTTCATTAAAAAATTAACGGTCATTTGAGCTGAACGTTAACCTATTGGTTAAGATATGATAAAATTATATTTTAATGATATATATTAATATCGTTGTTACTTTCAAATACTGATTTGACATAATAATATTTTAATCACTAGCTCGACAATATAATTAAAATTAAGGGTGAACAAAACTCGACTTAAAAAATCAATCTTCACGATTCGACTCAACTCCAAGAACTCGACTTAAATTGACATCGAGTTGTAATTTCATAAACTCAGCTCGGCTCAAAAAAATTTAAATTCGAGTTGAGTTATAAAATAGAACTCGAATAATAACTTGAATAACTCTAAATTTTTAGTAATTAGTTGATTAATTTTTAAGTTTGAATCGAATCTTTCGACTTTGTATGATATATGTGTATTACATACGAAGAAATATACATGTATTGTATATGATTATAGAAAACCGTTTAAATTAAAATCAAATAGTATGATAATATTATAAATATTTACAATCAAATTTAAATAGAAACTCAAACAAGCCAACTTGACCAAAAAAAAAAATCAAATCAAATTTGAGTTATAAAATAGGATTCGTCAACTCGAATAACTCAAAATTTTCATTCGACTCGACCTGATCGAATGCTCACCCCTAACGTAAATAGAGAGTCAATCTACAAATACAACTCAAACTGTTTTGGAGTCATATTTTATTATATCTCAATCAATAGGTCAACGTCCAACTTAGAGGGCGAATTTAGAACATATGAATAGTACCCTATAATCGGAGTAGAATTTGTGTAGTTTACCCATTTATTATTTAAAAGATTTGGAGTGTTGAAGGGGACGAAAGAAATAACCTGGCCCAATGAGAACGTGATAAATGACCGTTCACCGTCAAACCCAATTTTTCTAATCCAAAAGTTGAATTAAATACACTCCTTTCAAACTTTAATTTAATTTAAATTCAATTTAAATTCAAATACATTTTAAATTATAACATAAGTGTCTTTTGTAATTTTTATTTTGAGGATAATGATTTATCATTTATATATGTATAAAAGTCCTCATTAATGTCGTGTTAAACAATCATATCAATAGAATTCGAATATTAATCAATATGGCACAAATAATAAACAATATTAATAATTATTCTATTCTATTATCGATACATACTCATTACATACGATTAAAATTATTTATTTCACTCATTTCTTATAGAAATTATATTGTGATCATTTAATTATAAAAAGATTTTAATTTAATTATCAATAATATAATTTTGTTAATCAAATCACTTGATTATATAAATGATGTCAATCAAACTACTCTTTATTAACATTTAACAGATAATGTAATGAGACAGTTAAAAAGTTTTAATCTAATTATATATTTGTTCTCTATTATTTATACATTCTATCATTTAATCCTAATTTTAATTTAATTCAATAAATTATATATTTTATTAAATTAAATTAAATTAAAATCAAAACTAAATCGATAAATGTATAACTAACATGGACCAAATGTATAACTATATCAAAACTTTTAGTTGTTATGTCAATTTGTTTTGTTAATTATTTATGATTAGTGATTTGATTGATACTATTTAAACATTTGAGTGGTTTGATTGATAAAATTGAAAGATTAAAGATTAAATTAGAATCGTTACATAATTAAATGGTTATGAGTATAATTTATCTTCTTTATAGAAAAAAGTATGTCTAGGTTTTTAATGAAAGATAGCTAAGTTTGACCACAAATGAGAACTATGTAGGACTAAAACAAATGACACCAATTATAATGTCGTTAAGATGCATTTTCCTAGCAAAATGGAAGCATAGTATCTACAAACTATACTCAGCTCCGCCACCTCAAATAATTTCGACAAATATTTACATAAATAAGTTGGTTAAGAGCGGACAGTTATACATCTCGTGGAATGTGTTCGATGAAATGCCTATAAGAACCGTTGTGTCATGGAACGCCATGATTTCGGGTTACTCAAAGTGGTGGAAATTCAATGAAGCACTCGATTTACTTTCATCCATGCATCGGTGTGATGATGTAAAGTTTAATGAGTCCACTTTTTCCACCGCACTAAGCTTATGTGGTCGCTTGCAATCATTAAGTCTCGGAAAACAGGTTCATTGTTTGGTTATTAAATCTGGAAGTTCTTTGTTGTATTCTTATGCGAATTGTTTTGAGATCGAAGAAGCAAAGCGAGTTTTCCAAGAATTGCATGATAAAAATGAGTTGTTGTGGAATTTGATGATTGTGGGTTATGTTGAGAGTGGCTTGATGAAGGAGGCTCTCGATATGTTCATGAAGATGCCGAAAAGGGATGTTGTGGCTTGGACTACATTGATTTCGGGATATGTGAAGAGCGAAGAGGGATGCGAGAAGGCTTTGGAGTTGTTTTGGTGGATGAGAGGGAGTAGTGAGGTGGTGCCAAATGAATTCACGTTGGATTCTGTTATAAGGGCTTGTAGCAGGTAAGGTGATTTATGTGAAGGGAGGCTTGTTCACGGGATTTTGATCAAATATGGATTTGAATTCGATCAATTAATTGGTGGTGCACTGATTGAATTTTATTCTGATTGTGAAGCTATTGCTGATGCTAAGAGAATCTATGATGGAGTAACAAATCCGTGTTTGAATGCTTCAAACTCACTTATTAGAGGGCATATATCAATGGGTAAGATTGAAGATGCTGAACTGGTTTTCAATAGACTAGTTGAGGCAAATTTGGTTTCTTATAACCTGATGATCAAAGGGTATGCTGCTTGCAGTCGAGTTGAAGACTCGAAAAGATTATTTGAAGAGATGTCTGAAAGAACAATAGTTTCTACTAACACCATGATTTCTTTGTTTCCAGAAGTGGGGAAATTGATAAAGCTTTAAAGCTGTTCGAAGAAACACAGGGCGAAAGAAACTCTGTAACATGGAACTCAATGATGTCTGGTTA